AGACTTCACTCTTCTAAGCTATTAAGTGTTCTGCCTAAATGAATCAATTCTTGATAAACTGATGGCATCAGTTATAAAGTTATTTATTGGTTAAACAAATTTTAACGAGGGAAATTCCCAGAGTTTTATTTACAGTGTAGCCTTGCTAATCTGAACCTTTCTATTCCGGAATCCTTTCGTATCCGACGAAATGTGCGGACCCGATTTTATTCGTTCTATTTTCAATCGTAAAAAACCGTTCGGATCCGGAACTTGTCTACTCCGAATTCCGGACGATTTTTTCAATTTTTGCCCTTATTTCACTATATTTATTTTAGACAGTGGTTCTGTAATGTATGTAATGAAACAGTAGATATAAAATAAGTAATATATAAAAACACCCACTTATACTGTAAGTACATCAAATTTCTTCAAATTAGAATGACCACGAACAGTTTTCCATAGGTTTCTCAACATTGATTAAATAGATTTTCCAAATTGATAATTCACTACTTCAACATGTTGTTAGTATGTTATATGTTTTTTTCCAACTTTGAAATTGAATCTGGTCTGATAAAAAGTTAGTTTGGAATCACAATCACTGTATAATTTCTTGAACAATAATTTACTTTTATTTTATCAAATTCTGGTAACTGACAAATACTATAAACAATCCTTAATTAAAAACAATTTCCCTTTATTTTCCACAAATCTCAAGCACATTTTAGGATAACTGTCATGTTTTTCTGACAACTGCTAAAACATTTATGAATAATTATATACTCACTGAAAGAAGTTTTGATAAATATTTAATAAGATATTAACAGCTAACAGCTTGCTAACATTTAAAACTGGGACTGATTTATTAAATATTTATATTTGGTATTTCCTTTCTTAAAGACACATTATTAGCTACCAGAAATTAATACATTTTCTCTTCTCCAGTAATTTGTCAACAGAAGCAAAGGATGGTTCAGGTATAGGACAATATATATATTTTATATATATATATATATATATATATATATATATATATATATATATATATATATATATATATATATATATATATATATAATTCATAAAATGACCATATTTCAGGCTTTAATGTGTTTGTATGAGAGGTGTATATTATTAAGTTCATATCCATTGTTTTTCAGACATTGTATCAATTTGTCAGTTTTTCTTTTTTTGAGCCGTTAATATATTTTTAAGTAATTATTAAAAGTTGTTTTAAACAGATATACCTCAAATTACAAAAATGATTATATTAATTGTTTGTGTGATGTGATATGTTAATCTTAAGTCGATTCACTGTATAAATTGTATTTGGTGACTTACATGCCCATTTGGCTTGGCTTGGTGTTTTCTATTATAATCTTTTTATCTACAATGTATATATACAGTCATATGTCTCAACCTCCGGACACAAATAATTTAACACAAAGTCAAAGGTTAAAGGGGGACATAACTCTATCAAAAATAATTAAAATTTATATGTTAGACCATGTTTAAACATGGAAAAACGCGATTTGTGGTAATTACAAGTATTTTCATCATTTTCTGTTAACCCATTACCGGATATACACGCCTTTTAACGCCTTTCCTAACCCCCCTTTTATTGTTGTCTCAAATGGTGAAAAGGCCTTATTTAGGCCCCAACACTTGTTTTGTTTGAGAAATGTTGTTTAAAAAAGTGACCACTTTTTCGGATGTGCCTCCTTCTGTTAAAGGGTTTCGGGCAGTCACCCTCATCGCCAAGAAAATTTTGGACTTGTGAGAGGCTAAAACTGACCCCAGATTGATCATAAGGTAACGTGTAACCAATGCTGAAAAGCATCTGACTCTATCTCATTCCAGATGTGGAAGCACTTTGAAATCAATTTTGATGGACAAAATCAACGCAAAATAGTGTTTTTTGGCAATTTTGAGATGTCCCCTCGTTGCCATGGTAACAGGAAATTTAAGCCTTGGCATGTTGTTACAAAGGCAATGGTCCAGTCAACATTTGTGCTAAGTTTGATAAGTATGGAAGCAGTTGTTATAGTTTTATAACAATTTGAACTTGTAACGGGAGATTTTTCAATGAAAACAGCCATTTTTCACAAAATGCTCATGAAGTAATTGGTTAATAGTTATCCTGTGGAAACTGATAGCTCCATAAAAAAACTCCAGTTAAAACAGGGCATAACTATCAATGTTAGTTGGTTGATTAACCGCAAAAATCATACTTATTCTGTGTTTTGAAATGACATACTCAAATGCCATACATACTACTCAACTTTTGCTAAGCACCATAAAAATCGAACTTGAAAATTTAGTTTAAACGGGGAATAACTCTAAAAAGAGAAATCAGTTGATTTCAACTATTTATCGATTATGACCTGTGTTTTGATAAAATATACTAACATGTTAAATATTAACACAATCATTGAACTAATTCAAAAGTAATGATATGGAAACCATTGTCTACGGACAGGCGGACGAACGGACAACACCATACCATAACACGTCTCTAAGTTTCTTTGGGCGTACAATTTTTTTTCTGCAATGTTTATAAGGAAATCTTTTTGTGTCATCCAGCAAGCCCCGTCCCGAATGTTTATTTTTTTTTTCAAAAACTGTCAAACTGTTGCTTATTCCATATGTGGCTTACCGCGCTGACAACCGCATTTTGTAAAATATAAATTATTTGTAAACTTGTAAATAGTTTGTTTAATTTTCTTAAAATCTTAGTTTGTACATTTTTCTTAAGGTTGTTATTCTTGAATTTTTTATTATCCACAGGCATCCAACTTATATGAATGATCCCCTAAAACATATAATAAGCCATCAAATTTATCAAAAGGTATGAAAATTCTAGCTGATGTATTAAAGGAGTGTTACAAAATGAACACATCTAACGTCACAATTAGTATGTGTTGATATACTAACATATTATTTTTGTTGTTGTTTATTCTAGGGATGGTTGGTAGAGGTTTGGGATGTCTCGAGAACAAAATAATAACAATATTACGTAAATTCCTTAAGTATTTTATTATTCGGAAATATCAAGATCAAAGTAATTTTTCCCGAGATAGACTTTCCCTCAAATAGTCATGCCTGGGAAAATTGTCGCTGCTAAAATGTCGTCAACGTCATTTTTGAATTTACTCAAATAATTTCAAAATCAAGCAAATAGAGTGAAAGATCTCTTTGTGAAGTAAAATGGTCGTTTTTCGATCAATGACTTGTTTCACTACGTATATTTATTTCGTAAGAGAACACCATTTTTTGCTGACGATCATTAAAACACTATTTGTCTGATTTCGTTGCGGATAACTAAAAAAGCGAAGTAGAAATATTGAAAATTACATTAACTGAAATCGATCTTTCCCATTTATTATTGTTGATTTCATATGTCATGTTGAATTGAATTTTGCCCTCGACATCGTAAGACAGTTTGAGGGAGAGGAAATGAGCGAAGTTCCCTGCGTGCACGCGTATTTCAATTACAAATGAGCCGTGTCATGACAAAACCAACATAGTGCGTTTACGACCAGCATGGATCAAGACCAGCCTGCGCATCCGTGCAGTCTGATCAGGATCAATGCTGTTTGCTTACCAACTCTATTGCAAGTAGAGAAACTGATAGCGAACAGCATGGATCCTGATCAGACTGCTCGAATGCGCATGCTGGTCTGGATCCACGCTGGTCGCAAACGCACTATATTGGTTTTGTCACGACACGGCTCAAATATATTCTGACGTCAGATCAGTTGCTTGAAAACATGACGGGACATGGTGTTTTTTGATATTATTGGTCAATGCGTATTTCGCATGTTTTTTTCAGTGTAGCATATATAAGTGTGTAATGTGTTACTGGTCATTATACCAGACAACATCCTCTATCTTTTGGAAAATGTGGTTGATTGTATCCATCCATTTTTTTATTTCATACCATACCATACCATTCCATAACACACCATACCATACTATACCTTTCCATCAGGAAAAAGGGCTAATAATCCAAAACTTATCATGGTATTCATGGGGACAAGGTAAAATAATAGAAGCATATAAGGTAATGAAAAATAAATCAGTAGAATCCGACACATAACCTAATGGTAATTAAGATAAGCTTACAGACCTGTGCATTATTTTCCAGATATTCGAGACTGTATTAATTATTAGTGACAGGAATAGCATTTAAAAGAGCTACCCTATTGATATTTCGTTCATTACTTGTATTTTATTTAATTAATATTACACATTGTATTACAGGATTTTCATAGAATTCAAAACTCCTACCTGTACAAGTAGAAACACAGTATTTACATGTATTGTACCAAATACCATTTTGGCTTAATATCCTATTGAAAAGAGTTGCTATTAACGAAGATATATCTTATTATACAAAGTTAAGGGTTAAACGGTTTATAGGCAGGATTCGTTGGACGTGAACTTTAAAACTGTAAAACCGGAGAAAATTTTCACTGAGTTACATAGTAACATACATTATATAGCACATATATATAGCTTTGCTAACGAAATATCTTGATGGATCTAAATTTTCCTGATGAGCTTCTCATTTACAGCGTCAATCCATCTCCAAATCATGGTCATTAAAGCAAACCAGAAGGTTCTGATTTGTCTCTTCATTTGTTCATTCATCACAATTATCAATATTTATGTACAATGCCCATCCTTTGTCGATCTTATTCCATTCCCGTCTTTTCCAACGTTTAGAACCGTTCGTAACTATTGTATTATTTTAGATGAACGTCATTGACGGATACGTTCCGGCTCTCTCACTTCTAGATCTTTTTAATTATTTTATTTAACTACACTTCTTTCGTCTTAAGTCATTCAAAAGCAACTAAGTACTTTGTAGGAACAAATACATTAATGAAATTTCGTTTATTTACATATATTGTAAGGTGAGTATCTTTTTTAAAATGTGTTTTGATTCTAGTAAGAAAAATAACTGCATGCCATGTTATTGAACTTACATATTTAATTTTATTATCATATATTTCATCATTTAAGAGATGTTGCGCTTTCAGACATAAGTGTTTTGTTTTGTTTCCTTCTGTATCCTGATATTCTAAGGTTACCAATTTGGTTCTTCTGAGGTTCTGTAAATAGGATTTGAAGTACATATGTGTTATACCCGTATGCTTCTACACCGTTTACTCACGTATACAGTGCATTGCATCTAATTATTCAGTTTATTTATGTGAACTTTTATCATTCGTTGACCAAAATGTTTCGTTTTGAAAATACTATATATAATCATACGAATATTATGGTTAATTGTGTTTCAATAATCTATCAAAAATGAAAAACTTGAAGGTCGCCCAATACTGGCAAGACGGAAAGTTTATCAATACGTAACATATTAAGTGCATTCAATGAAAAGCAGCTTGTGACAAGAAAATAACAAAGGTATATCGAAATGAAATGCAATTATGAAATGAAGTGGTAATGAAACCTAGATATTCAAGACAGCAGTAAAACAGATAATATATCCAAAAGTTATTATACACTATTCTTGTTGGTATGCAGGGTTATAGTCACGATAAGATTATAAATTGAATATGATGTCAACAAAAGTGTAAGTTGAGTGATATATAAGCATTTACACTCTGTTGGATTCTGGAAATTTATATTTCATTAATGATTTCAATAAGTGAACTGAGGAATATGTATGATGAATTTGGAAAACGAAAAATATTTAAAATTAAAAAAATCAATTTAGCAAAAATGACTTTCAGAAGAATTTCTTTAGAAATGCATTCCAATTTTAATAGTTTTAAAAATTTAGAAAAAGGATTAAATACGACAAAAGGAAAGAAAGAAAAAAACGTAAATAGATGGCGACATCTTTGCAACATATACTTTTTAAAGCTGAATGCCCCCAGAGCAAAGTTTTTCGAGAACAAAACACTTTGAGAACAATGTAGAATGTTTGTAAGACTAGTAAAGTAATCACCATTCAAGAAATTATTTACATTATTTACATGTCATATGCAATAATTGACTAATTATGCTGTTCTTATTGCCAAAACTGTACTGCGTGATGTACGTAGTAAGGACTAGTTTTACATATCTAACCCTTTTCCGGATAACTATCAGACAATTGTTATCGTAAAACAGATATTTGTTTCCCCGTATTTTTTTGGTGAATACTTACAATGGCAACATCCACAAGTTTGTGGACATAATTTGACGGCAACATCTTTAAAGGAGCACGATTTTGAATGCATGTCCGGAATAGTGCTACATGTAACATGGTCAGAACACGTTGTTGCATCTGAAACAAGAGCATTGAAGGCAATTATATAGTTATATAATTATGTCTTTTGCAATTTTGATGCTTATGTTTCGTAATACTCATTAAAAGTTTTATCAAGAATAATTGAATTATATATATTTCTATAATTGTTAAATATATATGAAAATGTACGAAAATTCATGATCTTTAAATCACTAATTTTGTCATCATTCAAAGACTTACTAAATCCTGAACACATGTTTGATTGCTGTGTTTGAAACAAATCTGAAACACGAAATGTTTATAGATAAAATATATAGTTATATATATACGATTCCACAACATTGTAAAACAATTTAAATGGCTTTTGTTGACAAATGCTTTGTAAAACTTATCATACTTGTGAAAACAAAATTAAAAAGCAGGAACATTTTTATATTTCTTTGGTTATAGTATTATTTATTATCGGAGCGATTGCATGCCCTACATTGCAATTACTACTTCCTATCCGACTTGATTGCCTTGTTTAATTGTAAACTGTTTTTTTATTACCTTTGCTGAAAGATTATGTAGACAGAACATCATTGAAATATTACGTATAACATATAAGTGAATTATTCTATAATAAAAGGTCTTTAAAAAATAAATAATTACGTTGATAGTATTTAGTATCAAACATAACAGTAAACCACGAATGAATTATACATCACGGAAGTTGTTGGTAAGTGTGAGAAAAATGCATGTATGAATATTCAATATGTTTATATAACGGAAATTAAATTTATTCAGAACAAAATCTTATTATTCGCCATGTAAACTTTCATACTTAATCACTTACAAATTTTATCAACATATTTCAAGTAATGTATTTATGAGAATATCTAAAATATACATATCTATTGTTTTCATTATCATTTGAAATAATTATTCCAATTGTAGATCAATTCACTTTTAATTTAATACATTTTTGGGCCATTCAAATAAATATTGTAATAATAAGAAGTAATATACTCGTATATTGTAATATAAAATAAGTTACGATTCAGGCATATGATAATTGGACATAAATGGGCTGTTTAATATGTCTCTTGTTGTAAACTAAAAGATTGTTACAATGTAAGAAGGAGATGTTAAACCATTTCGTTAAAACTACCG